TAATCCTTCCAGGTGCAGTAGAATCCTGTAATCAGGATTTTATTAAGTGCAAAATGTGGTAGCATGGTGTCCCGTTGTGGTCATAGGAGAATGGTCGAGAGGTGCGGCTTATGACACCGTAGATAACAGCGTTTGTTAGGGCTGCAGTTCGCCTTGATCCACCTGATAACTAACTATGCACTGCACTTTAAGGGCGTGGAATCCTTGCGGACATAAAGAGTTTCTTAAACTGCTAGATTAATGTGTTGGTGCGACTGTTTCGCATAAATCTCGATTTCGACATTGTTACCAGCAATGCGGAAAACTAGCAGTCTGCAAGCAAATACGTTGATTTTCGTTTATATCACTTAACGTCATAGATCACTTCTAGCTATATTAAAAAAGGCTACCGAATTTACTACATGACACAGAGGTTTCATAGCAGCATCTCTCTGTAGTTTACCATTCTTTGAATAAAATCGAAATTCGGTGTGAAAGTTCCTCACACCACGTAAACGATGTGGTACAATTGAAGTTTTAATTTTAATTTATGCTGACCGTGTGAAAAAAGGAGTTCAATTAGGTGTTTCCAGACACATCTTTGGCAGCATACGTTAATTCAGTAGTGTCAAACACTGCGACCTTTCGAACTCGGCGACTCTAGTTCCGAAATGCAAAAAATAGCACTTTCTCAATGAGCAAGTGCGCGAGACATTATATCAGTGAAACTCAGTGCGTTTCGAATTTTCTTTCTTGCAAGGTAACCGCCTAGTTTTCAGTTAGCATTTGACCAAAGTCTTATTTACAAATTCATCAACCACACCCTGACCGTTAATGACAACCTGCAAAGCCGACGCTTACGAAAATTTTTTGTCCAGATAGCTCAATAAGCAGAATGTCTTCTTACCCTGCATCACTGTTTTAATTTCATGACATTTACAATCCTTGTAATGCGTAAGATTCCAAGACAAAAGTTTTTGCTTCTTCCTTCAGAAAAATAATACTTTTTACTGATGATTTAATTCACTGCAATTTTATTGAATTTAGTCAGAAAAGCGTTGTTAAACATGTTTAACCTGAATACACAAGAAATTAAAGCGGATCCTCGGCTATAAGATGTCATTGACTAGGATCTTCAAGGAGATGAAAATTCGGGCTTCGCATACAGCAGTGTTACAACTTCGACCAATAAGTAACAATAAACGAGAAAAAGTTTTTCAGAATATAAGTTCCTATCTCGATACCTTAATCTATTGCTGAATCAACAATCTTCGATGCCAAATTGCTTAGCGACAACGCATAGATTTTCATCACAAGTTGAATGATAGGCTTCCGTGATACGGTTCTAGACCAGCAACGTAAGGAAAATAATAGCGGCAGAGCTTACATGTACTCACGTGAGATTGGAATGCGAGACAGAACGTAATTTTTAAAATTCTTTTGTGGGACTCTAGAATTTTTCATTTTTTTGGCACAAATTGCAGCTCAGCAATAACGACTAACGATAGATTGATAATAATTCTCACATAAGATCAGCGTGATTATCCAGACGTTTTAGAGCATGCATCCATTCATTGTTCTAATATGAGGGTTCAAAGAACGCAAAGTGAAGTTCATAAGTTCATGGCTTTCGACTTTGCGAATAACAATTTGGACCCTCTAAGTACAAGCTCATTTAATGCTCATCATCGTACACAAATTGTTGAACCTTTTCTTGCATACCCTAATCTTATGCAAAATAGGAGAAAATCATATTGTCGCCTTCGCACTGAATACACATCAATCTAGCAGAATTATACAATGTCATGCCAAAACTTAAGTAATAACTAAAATAATAAGT